ACAGACAAGTAATCATTGGTCACCAAAATGAAGCTGGAATGGCACCTCTGATTTTCTTGTAACTTTGAAATTTTGTCAGGTTAACATTTTTATTTTTATAGTTGTTCTTATTGTGATTTCCTTGATTTTAGGGAAAGGACAGCCGCAACAGATACAGGTGTGATGTGGGAGTTCAAACATTACCTCCAACAGAACAGTTTACTGTACCACCAGGTATATATAACAATAACTTTAAAGTGCTGTGTCTTGGTTTGGGAATCTTGAAAAATTCAGTGTAAGTTCTCCATGTTGGCCACTTGTGATCAGTTTTAATTTTCTTCATCCAAAGCCATACTTAATTCCTCTTAGTTTAGTATTCCTTCCTTTTTTTTCATCTGTCATGAGTGTGAGTGGATTGACTGACTGCTATTGATCAATTGATGTTCTTGGTAACTAACTGGATGAAGTTAGTGACTGATGACTGACTGACTGAGTTGATGACTGATGGTCTGTTGACTGACTTACTGATAGAATGACTTACTGACTGACTGATGACTGTCTGAATGATTCATTAATGGCTGTCTGAATATTTGACCAATGAGTGACTGAGTTAATGACTGACCAACCGATCAACCAGGTGCCTGACTATGTGGGTGAGCAACCACTTAATGGTCTGATTACGAACTGACTGACTGTGTGGGTGACTGATGAGCAGCCAATGGTCTTATTGATTAACTGACTGACTGACTGATGACTGTCTGAATGATTCATTAGTGACTGTCTGAATATTTGAATGGTGTCTGACTGAGTTTATGACTGACCAACTGACTGACCAACTGACTTACTGTGTGGGTGACTGGCCAGGCAATGGTCTCATTGAATAACTGACTGACTGACTGGAGACTGTCTGAATGATTCATTAGTGACTGTCTGAATATTTGACTGAGTTAATGACTTAACCACTGACAAACCAACTAACTGACTATGTGGGTGAGAGACCAGCTAATGGCCTGATTGACTGTCTGACTAACTGGTTGACTGACTGATGACCATCCAAATGATTCACTAGTGACTGAATATTTTACTGAATTAGTGACTGACCAACTGACTGACTGTCTGACTGACTTTGTGGGTGAGTGTCCAGCCCATGGTCTGATTGACTAACTGACTGCCAAGCTGATCAACTGAGTGGCTGATAGATCAAGTGACTCCCTAACTGTTGGGCTGACAGACTGACTGCTTATTGGCTGAATAGCACTAATAAACTGCTCATTTTCATCAGCTCTTGGTGTTGGCATGGCAACAAGTGGCCCACGGCTTGGAATGCAATATGTGGACCCCACACCTATAGCAACTCATACAGTATCACCAGAAGCCATGGAAGGTATGAATCAGATCAGGTTGTTTTCACTGTTTTTTGTTTTAACAGAAAACAACCCAAAAAAATTGTTTAACCTTTAACCCCTGAGAGTGATTAGCATCTAATTTCTCCCATCAGCATCACTGCTGACACAAACATTCAGGTGATGAGAAGAAAGGAAATGATCACTAACTGAAGAAGCTCTTGATTGTTAAACAAATTCTCCTTATCAGTACATGGGAAATTTGTAGAGAACAGTATGGAGAATATGCATACTGATGTTGGGGTGTAAAGGGTTAAAAAAAAAAAAAAGCCTAACAGTGAATTTAGGTTTACTTATTTAAGCTGAATCAGAACTAACCCTAACTGAACCTCTTCTAAAATTCTATGCCATGGTTTTTTCTCAAGAACCTATTTTAGTAACCTGGCAGAGGGTACAGGTGGGGGGTGATAGGGGAAGGTTGGGGGGGGGTTAGTCTCACTAGTCCAGTGGCCACTGGCTGACTGATCAAGTGACTAAATGATTCACTAGTGGGCGACTATTGGTTGACTCTCCAACCAATGGATTGACAGACTGACTGATTATCAGCCCCCCCCCCTCACTTCTTACTGAGGGCCCCCCCCTCCTCCCACCTCAGAGGCCTAACAAGCCTTTTTTCAGGAATGAGTATTTCTTCCTCCTCCTTGAATGGAGTGGTCGTCTCTTTCTTGTAAGCCTCAACATTTTATCAAGTTTCTGCAACCGTTCAACAGTACCCATTTATACTCCTGGATGGAGGAAGGTGCTTTGAGAGACACTAGTCTTTACCTAAGAACACAACAAAATGACTCGATCAAATCCAAGCTCAGTTATCTGGATTCTGGACTCCACCTCCTGAATCCGCACGCCACCTTTTACCAATAAGTACATGTAATTGTAATAGGATATACCTATAGAATTTACTTTGTAAAATCATCTACAGTTGTGTTTCTCTCGTCTCTTTCAGCCATGACTGCTTATAACCCGGCCATTGTGGCGTTAAATAACATGCTGCGAGAGCAAATCCGTCTGGTGGAGCAGTTTGTGGAGATAAATCAGAGAATGTACGAGTCTTATTCTACAGGGGTCAATAGCAACTACCGATACACCACGCTCGAGGACACGCAACAGGTTAGATGGATACGCTAGCTCATCTATGCACTTTTGCGTGCATTACGACTTTAACACTCGCGCGCCCACGCACGCAACTCGTTTTTCATTAAAATCACGGAAGGACTGCCCTGGAGATCACGCAGAAGATGAGCCTAACTCAATCGCTCATGCATTCTTAAGAGTGTTACGGCGTGAACACTCGCGTATCCTCGCACGCATCTCCACTTGCACCATAAACTCCGACCTGCGACTCTGAAAGAAGCGAAACAGTTGAGCGACGGACACTCGCACTCCTGCACATATCCTGGACGCATTTCGGTGCAACAAGTCATGCCCCAAAGCACAAATCTCGCAACATGCTAAAAACACCCACCTACGTGCGCATCGCGCTACACGCTGAGGCAAATACATGCGCTACCTAAGATATATGTCACATATTCCAAATTTTTCTCTCCACAGTTTATAAGAAAGAACCGACCGAAAGTTGTGTCCTACGAAGAGGCATTGAAACAAGTAAAAGAAGAAGAGAGATATTGACAATACTCCTCTAAAAAACAAAACTAATGGCAATTTAATTACCTTTCCCACTTTCCTATTCGAGAGAGTCAGCCCTCATCCCCCTCCCCCAGGGAGGAAAGCCCGTGTTTCATTTTATTCCATCTTTCTTTCCTTCGCATCGTGATTGGCTCAGAAATACCCGTGCCAACACTGGCAACCAATCAGATTCAAAGTTAACACCAATTGCAACATGGTTACACGCGTTTCTTCGCGCTTGAGACATTTTGTCTGTCCTAACTTTGAGCTTTTATTGCCTCCTCTTGATATTTTCCTTTCGTGTGGTCAGTCGTTGCGATCACTTCGGCTTTTATTTGCGACATTCAATCGAAAGATGCTCACAATAATTCCTCGAAATATGTAGACTAGATTTTCAAGGGGCGTGAAACCCCAAGCATCTTCATCTCGACGATGCTTTCTTATGGTGCAAGGCACCCTGTAACACGACCGTACAGCAATAAAAAAAATAATTTTCCATCCATTTGGTACATAATTTGCCAATTTTTGCTTGGAAGCAAGGGGTGAGGAAGGTTTTAAAGCGAAATCGCGTTATTATGAAGGAAAGCGTTTTAACATATTCCTTTCCGTGGCTTTTTGCCCACAATAATTTTACCATTAAGTCGGTGTTTAGAGATAAAGTTTTGAAATGAAAATAAAGCATGTTTCGGGAGAGGAAAGCTGCGACCACTCGCGCAATGGCTGTGAGCCTACCCGCTGAAATTTTTTTAAACTATAGACCCGTAAGATGCAGTACCATGCAACACCAAGGGCCTCGAGGTCGAGGCAATTCACTGCATTACCGCACCCAGCAGCTGCGGGGTCATATTAAGATACCCGCAAAAAAGACCCCGAGTTGCCACAGAAAAACCAGAAAGGATCCTACTAAAAGACTAAAAAAAAGCATGAAAACTAATTTTCTGTGGGTTTTTTCCGGAAGAAAGATTTCAAATAAAGGGAGAATGTTGAGCGCAAACGGGAGGCGTAAAACAGTACCTGAGAATGGGTGGTTTCAGCCTGCGAGTGGCCCTCATAGTTAGCGCTACAGGACGCGTGTTTTTCCGCCCGCGGGAAGACTTAGGACGTGTCGGGAAGAGGTTAACTGGGGGTCTGGTACTAACAATGCTAGACCCCTGTGAACCTCTCGCCGGCTCGCAGTGTTTCAGACCTCCTTCTTTCCTGTGGGTGAAGGAACGCTGGTGCCGTGATGCTGATAATGAGAGCCTGCATGCAGGCCAGCGGAGGTTTGGAATCTCTGTTGCATTCGATCTTCGATTAATTGACTAATCAAAATGATAAAATTTACGGATTGTTTGCAAGTTTCATTCACGATGCACGTCGATTCCTTTCTTTAGGGCCGTGGATCTCTCTCCTCTAAAACTTTGATTTTGAAAGAATGAAACGATGGTTAAGTTCAAGGTCCTATTCCTGTTTCTTGGTTACAAAAAATTTGGTTAGCCAATATTCTTCGAGGTTTATTGATAAACAGAACGATTTTTTTGTTATTGTAGGAATTAGGGAGTGCCCCCCCCCTTTAAGGAGGCACGGGGTCAAATCTCGTCAAATCCTCGATTTTTTTCAGGCTTTTTCCTGAAGTTGGTTAAACTCACCGCAGATCAAATGAGTCGGAGGAGTTTCGGATTAATTTATACTGTGCTTTCCAGACGCGTTAAGAAACAGCAACAAAAACATGTACAAATATTTAATCGATCACAAAGCTTGTGTTTAACCCGCATGTACAACAAAGGTTTTGTCAACGTTTGTCAACGTATTAGAGGTTCTCGGCCCCAGAGCCACGTCTAAATTTGCCTCCCGTAACTAGTCTAAGAATCAGTGCATCCTGTTTTTACCTCTTACTTACGATCAATGTAGGATCGAAACTACTTTTAGAATCAGCCTGAGTGGAACCTAAGATCTTGCTCCAATAACTTTATTCACGAGTACTTGTGAGCCAAATAAACTTATTAGAAATACAATAGTTCAATGGAATGTTACTAGGTAATCAAATAGAATATGTAGAGGTGAATTATATTAAAAATTTAGTAGAAAAAATCGGTCATAAGATACGTAAATGCTACAATTTATATTATCTTAAAACGCTTTTAAATCTAATTTTTACGCCGCTCTTTTTGGTCGTTGAGACACGTTACAGAGCTCATCACAAACGTGGTTTTATGAACATAAAATGGTCTGTAATTATTTCCCTGCGTTAAATTAATCAGTGCACTATTCAAAATAAACGCCATAAACCGTAGCGGTCGCAAAGAGCGACCCGTTTGTGAATTCAAACGAAGCAAATGTGTCGTAGTTTGTATCCCAAAGACACCTACTTCCGATGCGCATTGCTTGATTCCCCAGCTGTCCAATGTGCACAAGACAAATAATCTTGTAACGCTGAATGTTTAAATCCTTCACGCGGTTTTTCACCGTGTCAGAAATTGTTTTGGAAAGCTGCCTGCACTGATCCGCATCGTACTTTGCTTCTGCCAGCCTCTCCGTTAGAATTTCCTTGAGTATGGAGCGAACGTCGCCCTCGGGAAATTTCCGATCAGGTGTCATTTTAAATGTGTTCTCCATGGCAATTTCGGGCACGCGTCGGCCGTCTTGTCTTGAAAACGACGTAGCCATCGATTGAGTAACGGAGACGGTGCTTGGAGGACGAGTTTTACTTGACGTGCCAGGCGTTAGCTCTTTCCCTTTCGTTGGTTTTAAGTTTTTAGCCGCTTTATCCGCTTTCGTATCTTTTGGAGTGTCAACGTCCGCTTTAACAACATCTGAACTCATTTTTGCTGTTTGTTCTTCGTTGTAAACCTCGATAATCCTCGACGAATGATCAGATATACATAGCCACCGATATACGGCGGTGAAAAATTGTTCTCGGTTATTTGTTTTGATAAGCAAATCAAAGACCCTGAGTTATTTAAATTCTCTCCTGCAGTTTGAATCTAAATTCTGTCTCTTAAGAGGTCTGTTATCAAGTTTGTTTTCAATAGTTGTTATAGCGACCCGAAAAAATAATTACTCATTGGTAAAAGTGCTAATAAGTTTCCGCCGTACCCTTCGTATTGTTAAAAAACATTGAATTGTCTATGCTACCGCAGTTTACTTTATTTCAGTTGTCCAGAGGGATTTCATGCTTTAAACGAAAACAAAAGGACATGATACTTTAGGGAACAAAGGTGTCTTGCGTTTATGCAAAACAATTTTCACTAAGACGAAACGTATGGTACCCTGCTTTTGTCTTAAGAATTAACTTATGTGTGTCTTAGGAGTTTGCATACTAAGAATAAATTTATCTAAACCGGTTTACCATGACAGAGTTGCGTGGTTAATCCAAATAAAACTTCAAACCGGCTAATTCTTACCTTATTCAAGATCAAACAAAAAACATTCTCATTTTCTACAAATTTTTTTGATGTGTCAATAGATTAACAGAAACTTCAACTTGAAAGTTTTAATAAACCGCTTTTCTTGTTAGAGTATTAAGTCTGAATTCAAAGACGTCTCTATAATGTAAGATAGAATATAGATTTTATCTGTTATATTTATTTCTGTCTTTAATCTTTTACACCCCAGCACCCCATCATACTCTACTCAATCTGTTTCTTTTGGTACTGACAAGGAGGATTCATTTGAGGATCAAAGCTTCTTAGGTTGGCGATCTTTTCCGTTATGCTCATGACCCTAGTCAATGATTCAGCAATATTACTGTGAGGAGAAATTAGATGCTAGTCGCTCTTAGGGTTTAAAGGATAAAATTATTTTACAAATTCACTACTTGCTGCAGTTAAAGATTCTAGGGTGTGAGATCGTCATCAAATTTTCTTCAAATTTATCGAAAATTTTACTAAAGACCATTTTGAAAACCAATCCAATTAACTGGCTGCACACGCAAAACCCCAACGCGCAATTTATAATTTCAAACAGCTGCTTTCTGGTTATCGCTAAATTCATTGTTGACGCATAGAATCAGGATCACTAATTACCAGTCTGTTATAATATATTATTATTTACCTTACTACTGTTTAACAGATCGCCAAGAATTGACAAATTGACAAAATCTTGTTTTAAAGGTACCTGGCCAAGCCGCTAAGTATCAAAGACGGCGGCGTACATAGTCGAATTACTAGGGACCTTAAGCAGTCAGGATGGCAACACCAAGGCAGACTTCGGTTAAAAAACGAATTTCTGCCTTCAATTAGAATTTAAAAAATGGCTGCATGTGTTTACCGTCTCATACGGCGACACACCTCAACTTCAGCATAACGTATAAAAGAAGCGTTGAGTTCCAAATGAAAATTAAAATAATTTGCGTTCGCGGTTTCGGTTCGCAGAAGACGCAAATTGTGGTGATTTCACGTTGCTGTTTTGCATAGGACGGCTAAGAAATGTACAAAGTTTTAAAACGCACGTGCTGAGATATTGTTCTGCCAATTGGATCTTTTGTTTTTCCATGTCCTCGTTGCCGTCGCCGTCGTGGTTTGCTTAAGGTCCCTATTAACACCTTTAAAGACGATTCCGAGAGGTTTAGTCACTCTTTCTTTGAAAGTCGTTCAACGCCTATGTGTCATCATGTACGTTTTTCTTGGATGAGATAAAATCAAATTATATTAAAGAATTCTTCTCTCTGAAGTAGTTTTAGAGCTGTAGATGTGCTTATTAAACGACAAACTCAAAAATATGAGTTTCTCCGAACAAACAAAAATTGCAAATGATTTAGCTGTGCGGTCTTGACTATTTAGGAAAAGTTGGTGCTCCTTGTGAATTACTGCCAAAAATTTATTCCGTAGGAAACAAAGTGCAATTAATTTTCAACTAATTAAATGACTCGTATATATAATTTAGCGGAGCCTAAGAGCTGAGCTCAAATTAGTTCATATTTAATGCGCTTTCTTTACTTTGATTTCTTTTCTTTGTTTTTATAAGTTTCAGTATTTACTAACCATAAGAGCTACCTCACGTTGAGCCCACAATGCAGCCTATCGCGTAAACAAAATACGGTTTCGCATGCAGACGCACCCGCACGTGGCTGACTTCCGCCCATCAAAATATCTCGACCTAATGGGTTTTCGTATTTTCTTCGTTACTGGGCTCCGCTTTCGTGCTCCGCACAGAAGCTTCACGGCTAAGAATACTCTACACGCTGTTTACGAAAAAATCACAAAGGGATACAAATGGGCAGTCTAAGCCTGTATGTAGCATTGAAAATAACTAGAGGTTGTCTAATGACGCTAGAAGGTAGTGCTGCAAAATATTTGTATTTACTTGCAAAACAGAAAACCAGCTGCACCCCACACATTTATGAGTGCCCTGTTCCACAAGGGAAAGATGATTCAAATATATAGAGACTACTTTATATTCCACCAAAGATTATATAGTGACAAATAATCATGATGACAAAACTAATAATAATAATAATAATAATAACAGTAGAAATGCTAATTTACGTTTTCTACATAGGGCCTAGCTCAAGAATCTAACTGTTCCTTTATCCGTTAGTCTCCAATAACGGTTTTATTCTGCTGATTCAAACGGTGAAAATCTTTCTGCGAAGTTTTAAAGATGCCCCAATCAGATCTATTAAGATTTTTCTGCGAGGAAAATATTTTTTTTTGATAACGCACCATCCTGAAATAACTGTCAGGTGTTTCACGTCTTTTGCTGTCTTCTTAAGTGTCAAGCAAGAACTAAAGGAATATCCCATTAGAGATTTAGGACCCTACTGGCCTAGTCAATTTTTTAGTTAAGATGCTGCTGGCCGAATTTGAGTTTTTGAATTTGAGATTTTTAGATTTTGGACCATAGTGATCGATTTTGGATTTTGGACCCTGGTGGCCGATTTTGGATTTAAGATCATAGTAGCCGATTTAGAAAATTTTGGATTTTAGACCTTGGACCCAAGTAGCTGATTTTGGATTTTGGTCTCTAGTGGCTGATTTTGGATTTTGGACCCTAGTGGCCGATTCTGAATTTAGGAAATTAGTGGCCGATTTTGGATTTAACATTTTGGACACTAGTGGCCGATTTTGGATTTTGGACACTTGTGGGCGATTTTGAATTTTGGACACTAGTGGCCGATTTTGGATTTTGGACACTTGTGGGCGATTTTGAATTTTGGACAGTAGTGAGCGATTTTGGATTTTGGACCCTAGTGGCCGATTTTGGATTTTGGACCCTAGTGGCCTATTTTGGATTTTGGACATTAGTGGCCGATTATGGATTTTGGTCCCTAGTGGCCGATTTTGAATTTAGGACATTAGCGGCCGACTTTGGATTTTGGACATTAGTGGCCCATTTTGGATTTTGGACACTTGTGGGCGATTTTGAATTTTGGACACCAGTGGGCGATTTTGGATTTTGGACCCTAGTGGGAGATTTTGGATTTTGGACACTTGTGGGCGATTTTGAATTTTGGACACTAGTGGCCGATTTTGGATTTTGGACACTAGTGGCCGATTTTGGATTTTGGACCCTAGTGGCCGATTTTGGATTTTGGACAGTAGTGACCAATTTAAGATTTTGGACACTAGTGGGCGATTTTGGATTTTGGACACTCGTGGGCGATTTTGGATTTTGGACACTCGTGGGCGATTTTGGATTTTGGACACTAATGGCCAATTTTGGATTTTGAATTTTGGACATTAATGGCCGTGTTTGGATTTTGGATACTAGTGGCCGATTTTGGATTTTGGATTTTGGACAGTAGTGACCAATTTAAGATTTTGGACACTAGTGGGCGATTTTGGATTTTGGACACTCGTGGGCGATTTTGGATTTTGGACACTCGTGGGCGATTTTGGATTTTGGACACTAATGGCTGATTTTGGATTTTGGACACTAGTGGGCGATTTTTGATTTTGGACAGTAGTCACCGATTTTAGATTTTGGACACTAGTCGGCGATTTTGGATTTTGGACACTAGTGGCCGATTTTGGATTTTGGACACTAGTGGCCGATTTTGGATTTTGGACACTAATGGCCGATTTTGGATTTTGGACACTAGTGGCCGATTTTGGATTTTGGACACTAGTGGCCGATTTTGGATTTTGGACACTTGTGGGCGATTTTGGATTTTGGACACTAGTGGGCGATTTTGGATTTTGGATTTTGGACACTTGTGGGCGATTTTGGATTTTGGACACTCGTGGGCGATTCTGGATTTTGGACACTCGTGGGCGATTTTGGATTTTGGACACTCGTGGGCGATTTTGGATTTTGGACACTTGTGGGCGATTTTGAATTTTGGACACCAGTGGGCGATTTTGGATTTTGGACACCAGTGGGCGATTTTGGATTTTGGACACTAGTGGGCGATTTTGGATTTTGGACACTTGTGGGCGATTTTGGATTTTGGACACTTGTGGGCGATTTTGGACACTTGTGGGCGATTTTGGATTTTGGACACTAGTGGGCGATTTTGGACACTAGTGGGCGATTTTGGATTTTGGACACTTGTGGGCGATTTTGAATTTTGGACACTAGTGGGCGATTTTGGATTTTGGACACTAGTGGGCGATTTTGGATTTTGGACACTAGTGGGCGATTTTGGATTTGGGACACTTGTGGGCTATTTTGGATTTTGGACAGTAGATTTTGAATTCTGGTTTCTGTTTCTGAAATTTATGTTCTTTCCTTTGGTGATTTTAGACCTAAAGTTCTAGATTGTTATTTTTTCAGTTTGCCCTGACATTTACATCCCTAAATACTTATACATTGACATCACTAACGCGTAATTTAAATCAAAACTTCTCTTGCAGAAATATTTCAATAGGTGTGATCTGCATATTATGGAAATTTTGAGGAAAATTATTTTATCTTTGAAAAGAGAGAATTTTACCGTTTGAAATAACGATTTATTGCCAAGTGGGTCTTTAAGTTTGCGAAGCGAACAAGATGCGAAATACGATCCCTTCAGCACTATTACATGGAATGATAGCACGGAGGAACGGTGGAATATC